TTCATAAGCCGGTTTTTTCACCGAGATGTGATTATACCTTTTTAAAAGCAACGTCAGGCTCTCTTGCTCAAACACGTTACGTTATACCGTTACAGAAAGTGGAATTTAGAAAGCAACTATTTCAAATATTGTGATTGTTTGTCAAATTAATTCATATAGTTTGCTACTAATCTATGTTAAATTTATATTTAATCATATATTTAAATTTAGATTTAGACATTTATTTCATGAAAATATCATTTTAATGATTTGGAATAAATTATTTGCCGTGCAACGCACGGGTATGAATCTAGTTCTTTAAAAAATAAAATGGCTCACAACTTTTGTGTCATTCTAGAAAAAATAGTGGATTATCATTAAACTAATCGAAGTGCAACGAGAAAATTTTCGATCCAAAAAAGGCATGAATTATAAACGTTTAGTTCCATTTTGGTGAAAATTTTATTATATCATTTTCATAACTTTTGCAATGTTATTTTATGAAAAATCGTTGTGCCAAATTAATGAAAAAATATATTGTATTGATATGTACTCTAGAAAAGAATATTATATTACAAAAACATTGTAATAAGAAAAAAATTCCAAGGTCTATGAATAACCTGCTACTATAAATAATATAAAATCTAAATGTTTCTTTTTCAAATTGACACAAATTGTCTTTTTGATAACAAAAAAATTTGTATAGTTGTTTTTTGAAAATATCATTACAAAAGTTATGCAAATTTTACAACACCTTTTTCTCCGAAATGACACTGATTTTTTATACTCCGTAACTCACTAGAATTTTCCTTAATTGCAATTTTTTCTTGAATGGCACTCCAAATTAATTTTCAATAGTCTACTATTTAGGTTGTGTTCCATTCGCCTAATCTTATCTGATTTTTTGAAGTCCTGATCTGATTGGATCTGATCTGGTCTAATATGATTTGATTGAATTTGATCTGATCTGGTCTGATCTGATCTAATAGGAATTTCATAAAATTAAAATTTTTATTATAATAGTTAAAATAATAATAATCATAATAATAGAAGTATTAATAATAATAATAATAATAGTAATTATAAAAATAAAAATAATACTAATATTAAAAGTAATACTAGTAATAATAATAATTGAAATACTTATGAAATAACAATACTAGAAATATTTATAATACTAACAATAATAATAATGATAGTAATAATAATAGTATAATAATAATAACTATAATAATAATAATAATAATCGTTATAATCATAATAATAGAAATGATAATAATAATAATAATAATAATAATTATTATTATTATCATTATTATTATTATAGTAATAATAATAAGAGTAACAATTATATTATTATTAATATAAATAGTAGTAATAATAATAATAATAATAATGATGATAATAATAATGACAATAGTAATAATAATTATAATCATAATACTAATAGTAATAGTAATAATAATGCTAATAATAATGGCAATAATAATAGTAATAATAATAGTAATAATTGTGTTTAGATCTGGTCTAATTATATCTAATCTGGTTTGATCTGATCTGATTAGATTTGACCTGATCTGATCTAATCTGAATTGATCTTATATTATAATAAGAATAAGTAATAAGCAAAAAAATAAGTTGATGGAACGTTGCCCTCTTTTTTAAATGACACTACACAACTTTTGAATCTTTTCTAAAAATGCTCTACAATTTTTTAACATGCAAAACAATATTACAAAGGATATAAATGGCACAACAATTTTTTCTTTGAAATGAAACTAATTTTTGTATAATACTACATTTTTTTTGAGAAGCTTTCCAAATTATTTTTCCATAATACGTTATTGTTATTATTATCAATATTACTATTATCAAAATGACACTAAACAACTTGCGATTTTTTTTCCGATTACTCAATACAAATATTTTTCAAAAATACTATTACAAAATCCATAAAAACTCCAAAACAATTTATTTCTTCAAAATGACACTAACTTTTATATACTTCACTACAATTTTTTGTGTTACAAATTTTTTCTTAAATGGTACTCCAAATTATTTTTTGATATTCCTCTATTGTATTTTCTCAAAAATAGAAATACAAAATTTGTGAACCATTATATTTTAAAAGAGGTATAGAAATCCCTAACTAGAGTACATTTTTATATTTTTAAAACACATTTTTAAAATTTAAAACTTCAAAAAATTGGAAAAAATGAAAAAAAAAGAGAATTTACTCCAAATAATCCCACCTTTTTATTTACCTATGCAAAAGACGCCTTTTCTATAGAAATTTGCCAAGTGACCATTAGCATCATAATGGCCACCCAAAACCTGCATACATGTAAAAGATGAGATTAATATGCATGATAGTAAAAAGTAGGTTATTTTTTAGAGATCATGAAAAGTAAGATTACTTCCTAAATTCTTTTATACTATGTAATCATTAAGACATCACTAATATAGAGGAAAGAATAGAAGAACAAGATTATGTAGAGAGAGAAAAATGAATAGAATGATTAAAAAAATATGAAGAATATACGAGAAAAGAGAGCATTAAAGAATAATATTTCTCTGGAGAGAAGAAATATATATCATTGGCTCATTGCTTTTAAAATTTTTAAAATCACTTTTTGGGCTAATGGAAACATAATGTGTACTCTGTTGTCCGGATTAAATCTTTTCATTTAACTTTTCTTGATTACTGTTTGGCATCCACATTTTTGGACAATAACATTAATGGGTTAACTTTTCTGTTTGGCTTCTGTTAAAATAGATCTGCCATTTGAGCCGTAAGCTCTTTGCTATTCTTTCGAACGACTAAATGCAAGAGGCTCTGGGGGGTAGCGTTCAACCGAGAAGATAGGCCATTGCAAGGAATTTTCCACTTCTACCCACAAAAAATCTTGCGGCAAACTTGGCGCCTAATTGCCTCTCCGATCCATATAGCCGCAGTTTCAGATAAAAAATCATGGTTAATTTGTGCAGAGAGTTACTACATGGAAGAATCCAATTCTTTGCAAGTAAGAAATTCAAATCTTTTCAGATTTCTTAATTGTTGAATGCAACACTCATATGTTTTAGAACATGTTTCTTTGATTTTTTTCCCTTTGTTTACCTTTTTTAACTTATAAGCAATATTGCATGAATTTTTTTATTAGCTCTCTGTTTGCTTTTTTCTAGTAAGAAATAAGGCATGAATTCTTTTCATAAATTCAAGAACCATAAATTTGTCCACTTGATTTTCCAGAGCTCCTTTTTTCATAGTAAAGATTCAACCTCTGCTTATTTGTGTGATATAGATATAATTTACTCCGTATATTGCTTAGGTTTGTTGAGTTGAGTTCAATATACGGATTATAATTTATTGGTAAAAATTATGATGGTAAAAAAACCTTTGCAAACCAATTTGAAAAAAGAAGTACTGTCTAAGTTGTCTATAACACATACACTTACCTTGGACCTAAATAGAATATCATTTTTATTAAAATTTTAAAAATGTTGTAAATTTATTTAATTAAAAAAATATAAATGATATAACCTATACACTCCACCGAGATAATATATTTTGCATTTCTTGCATTTAAATCACAAACCATTTGGAATAAATTTACTGTTGCATGTCTTACACAACCAAGGTAGCACCATTCAACTGTGCTTTCAATCTCAAACACACCATCAATTATCTAATAATATCCGTTCTACAAATAATAATAAATATATTATTAAGGAAAATTAGAATAAACATTCCTCTTTAGGTTTGTAGGCTATATTGGTAAAAAAAAATGNATAAATGATATAACCTATACACTCCACCGAGATAATATATTTTGCATTTCTTGCATTTAAATCACAAACCATTTGGAATAAATTTACTGTTGCATGTCTTACACAACCAAGGTAGCACCATTCAACTGTGCTTTCAATCTCAAACACACCATCAATTATCTAATAATATCCGTTCTACAAATAATAATAAATATATTATTAAGGAAAATTAGAATAAACATTCCTCTTTAGGTTTGTAGGCTATATTGGTAAAAAAAAATGGGATTATAATGGGTAACTCAATAGCATTACAAAAGCTTCTGTAGGCTATATTGGTAAAAATTGCTCTTTCTTTATAACCCAATGGACCAACTTCGCAACACATATTGCGCAGTGATAATGACATACCCCGTAGTAATAGTTTACATAGACCATTGCAAACCAATTTGAAAAGTTCACCACAACCCAGAAGAGACAAATCAAAATTGTCTTTATTCATTTATGTGAATTGTTAACTTGTTAATGATTATTTAATTCACATATAAAGCTGAACGTTCACATAGATCTAGGTATAATACTTCATGGTAACATGGTGTACTTTATGAGATAATGCTCTATATAATCTAACCAATCATATGAAACTATTAGTATCAGACACACTATTGGGACATACAATGAAAAACTCATAAAAATAAGCAGGTTCAGGTTATGCCACATATTCAGAAACTCATATTAGCCCATTCCAAAAGTACGGCAAATGTCAGAAACTCAGGAACACCAAATGGGCTACCGCAGGAATTATAATAATGAGCATGTTGCCCAAGTTTCCTGCACATAAACAAAGAAATATATTAAATATTTTTTTCTTATAAATAATGCTTTCTATGGAAAAGTGAAATTGCCCCAAACAAACCTGCAGCACAACATCCCAAGATAAGTCCTCGTAGATGTCGTGGATCTCTTGTAACATGAACAACAGCATATCCGAGAATCGAACAAATAACAAATGTGATGAAAATGTTGAGGCATGAACCACCTAATGGGGAAAGTGTGTGCAACAAGACAATAAGAGAAGTGGAGGCGAGACGCAAGCAAGTTGTGAGAAATTGCTAAAACTCACATCTTTATTATGCTTTCATATGTAATTGAATTGGCCAAGTTGCTGGACACCAGAGAAGGATTGAATATAAAATATACAATCTCCTGGAGAATTGTAACTTGCAGTGGCACTAGGCAACCTCACATGCAGGAGAATGATCATAACAGCATTATTCTAGCATTTCCTACCCACCTTCAATATTACCTAGCATCTGAAGATACCAGCTCATACCAGTCTTCCCTCATTCACCTGTTACCTTAGATAATCAGATTTCTCACTATAAAAAAAGTCTACTCATCCTTTTGAAGGAAGCCTGCAAATTAAGTGAAGATACAGAAAAAAAATTATTGCTTCCTTAAATGATGGATTATGGAAGTCTGAACTGACCGTAAAATAATTGGTTGAGAACATAACCACTTTTTCCACACAGAAAAGCCTTGTCTGAGTAGAGCACATAGTGGTGCGCATGTAAACTGTTATTCCAGAGGAAAAAATAATCCACATGTTTAATGGTCACAAATATCCAAAGGAAAAAACTACAAGTCCAAAACCTCCTATGGTCAACAGCCAAAACGACGGGAGCACAAAACTGATTTTCCAATGAAGATTGCGCTGGTGGATGTGGACGGAACTGGAAGAGAGATAACCTCAAATGCACAACGAATAACAGACAAAGCGTCAGACTTCCAGTATATCTACTTTAGGCCCTCCATCATTTCTTTCAGATTGTTCACATCATTATGTCCAAAGACACAGTTTTTATAATTCATTCAGCATCTCTGATCACCAGTAGTTACCACATGAACATTCACCATCTCTGAAATGATGGAACCTCTTTCCATCTCTCACAATAATCTGTCTTTCCTCTAGCTTTGAAATTAACTTTAATGCATTGTGGCAGTCCCCACATATTCGAATGTTCTTGAATACCCTAATTGTGGCACCATGAGGTAGCTTCAAGAGGCCAAACACAACTGCAAGTTTTTCACTGTGAGTTGACAAGGCATTATCCTTTTGTTCAATCTCCGTATCATGCAACACATATTTTGTATCAGGAACATATCCAGCTTTCCTCATCCTTGCTGTTAATTCCTCCAGATAGTTGTAAACTGCTTGAATTTCAAGATGCTTCATATCATCCACCAAAAATACATGGACTTTGTTTTCAACCTCAATCCAACTACAGGCAGGCTCCTTCTTGACTCCCCGTTCCCTCATTAACTTTCGTATACTGGCAGCCTCACTCCATCTGCTCGCAGATGCAAACATGTTAGCCATAAGTATGTAGGTCCCATCATGTTGTGGAACCAATTCAAATAGTTTATCTGCAGCTTGCACCGCCAGCTCAATATTTCCATGAAGCCGGCAACCAGAAAGAAGAGCTTCCCAAATGGGTGCCCCAGGCTTATAAGGCATATCCTGGATCACATTTGTTGCTTCTGAGAACCTTCCGGCTCGAGACAACAAATCAATTAAGCGAGCATAGTGATCTTCTCCTGGGCTTATTCCATACCTGGTATGCATTAAATTAAAATAATGTTGTCCTTCTTTTATAAACCCTGCATGACTACATGCAGATAGAATAGTAAGAAAGCTTATACGGTCAGGAGTTATGTTCTCTTCCAACATCTCTTCAAAAAGTTCAATTGCATGTGTACCCTGACCATGCTGCCCCAGGGCAGCAATCATTGCATTCCAAGACACTGAATCAAGCCATGGCATCCTTTGAAAGAGACACAGTGCATCCTCAATGGCTCCACATCTCCCATAGAATGTAATTAGTGCATTTCCAGCAGAGAGGCTTGAAATAAATCCACGCCGAATAATCTGAGCATGGAGTTGGCGCCCAGTTTCTAATGCAGCCAGAACTGCACAAGATGTAATGGCTCCTGCAAAAGCATAGTCGCATGGCTCAAATCCATTTAATTTCATTTGGTTGAATAGCTTCAAACCTTCTTCCCCAAGCCCATTTTGTGAACATCCAGATATCATCACTGTCCATGTTAAGGAGTTCTTCTCTGGCATCTCAGAAAAAACCAATTTAGCTTCATTTACTTGTCCTGCACTCACATAGGCAGACAAAACTGTGTTCCACGAGATCAGGTCCTTAGTGATCATCAGGTCAAATATTTTCCTAACACCATCAACTCTACTGCATTTCCAATATAGTGTCATCAAAGCGTTATTTACTGACACACGGAAATGATCTTTAGCTTTGGTTTCCATCCTTATGATGTAAGCATGTAGCTGCTTTCCATGGAGAAATAATCTAGCATCCGCACATGCACTGATAACATTCGTGTATGTAAATTCATCGTATCTAATTCCTAGCAAGTACATTTGTCTAAAAAGTTCTAATGCTTCGGACACAAAACCCTTATGCACATACCCTGAAATCATTGCATTCCATGCCACAAGTAACTTCTCATCCATCCCATCAAACACTTTCCGTGCAGCATCAACATTATCATTCTTTATAAAGCCGACAATGATCGTTGTCCATGACAACTCATCCCTCTTGGGAAGCTCATCAAATAGCTTCTTAGCTGAGTCCATTAGAAGTACTGAAGATGCCAATGGAGAAAATGTGCATCTAACATACACCGACATAAGGGCATTCACCACCGATGTAACTGTCCCAGTTCCAGACTTGATGACAGCACAATGAAACTGCTGGCAATCCAATTCACATTCAGCTATAAGTGCCAAAGCTGCAAGCACACTAGTGTATGTGTACTGGTCAGGCTTAAAGTTCTTTCTTTTCATGTCACTAAAGAGATTTATGGCAGCATGGCCATCATTGTGATGCGAGTACCCAGTTATCATAGAATTATAGATAACAGTATCACGAATGCTTAAAGGAGCATTACGAAAAACATGTGAAGCCATCTTGAGGTCACCGGAAGCAGAATACGCAGCAATCATGGTCGTTCTTGCAAACACATCCGGTTGGGGAATTTTGTCAAACACTTGTCTTGCGTAAGAGAGGTTCGAGGACTTACAATAGAGATCAATGAGGCGGTAGAGGATGTACCCATGGGGCTTGAACCCGGAAGTGATCATGTGAGCGTGGATGGTTCTGACGTGAGAAGACGTAGCAGGACTGTGTATGTTAGCGGTGCACAGCTGAAGTTGTGCCGTAAAACGGCTGGCGATTTTACCAGCATCATCCAGTGGGAAGGTGTATAATTTGGCGGTGGTCGATGCATTTTTCATTGTTGTGAATGTTCTTACATAATCTCAACAGGTTGGGAAGATGGTCCATACATGATGACGCATAAACCCATTTTCCCAGCAGAGGCGAGTTTTAAGGTTTGCCCTCCATTTGAACTCTAGAAAACATATTCGTGAAGGACAGAAAAAAAACTGCTAGGTGTATACTAAGGGGCTGTTTGGCAATTTCTGAAAAGATAAGTATTGATACTGAACCAGTAAGAGGTCTGAACCATTAAGAGCTATTATATTACTTAACTATTCAGAGGCAAATGTCTGATCAATTCATATAAGAGGTCTTAATCATTCAGACTCTGTATAATACTTAACCATTCAGAGGTAAATGTCTGAGCCATTCAGACATCTGAACCATTAAGAGGCTGAAACAAACGGTCTGAACTATTAAGTGCTGAACCATTCAGACATCTGAACCATTAAGAGGCTGAAACAAACAACCCCTAAGAGTTCACACACATACACTGATACAAAATATTAATGCAAAATTTTATGATTCTTCTAACTTTTAAACTAATGTAATGGTGTAATTGTTTCGACTATTTTTGTCATTTTTACTGTGTCAAAATGATAAACGAGTCTAACAATCACCAAAAAATACGAAAAAGTTATTTTTGACGTGAAAACTCTAATCGAGAGAAAATCACTGACCTTTTTCGGTTATACCATGCCAACTAGAAGATTTTATTAATATCGATAGTAGTACATAGTACATAATCTTGACATTGTAGCCATTGATGGAGCGTTCTAGCTCTATGAAGAAAGAATAATACAATGAGTATTTTATAAGGGAGAGAGAGAATATATACTAGTACGAAACCAATATGTGAAGTGTTCCAAAGTAAAAACCAATATGTGAAATGTTGGTATATGGATTAGAAACCAAGACTTAGTTTTCAAAATAAAGTCTTCGAGGTCATAAGTCACGCATGATATAAGAATCAATCATGTCATGGCATATATTCTGTTAAGAGGTCAGGCCTAGTGCAAATCTTATAGCAGGCCCGTCCAGGAGCCTCCGGGTCCAACGGGTTTCATTTGGAAGGCTTGTGTACGTACATGGTAACTAGGTTTCAGTTACCACCCATTATTTCTAGTCTCGTCAACAGACTAAAGTTTGCCCGAGTCGTCACTGTTGTGGGATGACAGCGAAGCGCAGGGGGTCCCTGCATAGTCTAACTCATGCATCATATTTCATGTAGTCATTATGAGGTTCCAGTACTCTAAATACAGGCATGGAACATTTGGTCAATATGTGATCCAATTGGTCGTTATGAGATTCGTGTCATTCATATTGTTCCATCATCATGAATAAACATCTTGATTATATCTATGAATATGGGCGCCTTGGATTTTTGCAAAACATATTGCACTATATATTCGACATTGTTAGCGACAAGGCCAAGGTATTTATATTTGGATAACTTTCTAAAATGAATCTCCATAATATGTATACGTGTACCTTATATCTTGTGCTATCTACTATGCAACCATGAAAATTATGTGGCCAATATGATGCATAGTATTTAAGTATAAATATGTTATCGATCTCTTGTGTTATCGTACCACTCAGCTTTATGCTGAGCGTGTAGTCTTTTTGTCTACACGTATGTTGAAGCATAGATTATGCAAACCACTCCGGAGGACGAAGAGACGATAGGATGGTAGATTGACATGCATGATTTTCAGAAGTATTGCATTTGAAGTTTTGGGCTTAACCCACACCATTGTATTTGTATTATTTAAGTCTTCCGCTATCTTCGACATTTTGTGAAGGATCGATCCGAATTTGATATGTTGTATTTTTAAGTTTTGTTTTACGAATTTTATTTAATGATTTGTAAAAGGTTCTAAACATATTTCTCATGTTTCATCTTAATTTCTTTAATTTCGAGTTATACGAATTGGGGTGTTGCAGATCCATTGACAAAGACTTTCGAAAAGTAAGTCTTTGCACGATAAAATAAAATATTGAATGTCTCCCACGATATTGAAAGCTTAAAATGATGTTTTGATACCCCAAGAATGATTTGAAATTCAAAATTGTAATTTTGGTGAAAAATATAAGTTCCTTCGAAGGTTTCTTTACGGAGTTTTTCATATCTGATCTCATTTCTTGAACCGTCGGGATAGACAACCTTGTTAAGGTAGGCTTAGAGTTCCTCTACAACTATATATAGAGGTGTATCTTCTTCTTAATAATCATTAATAAAACCATAACTTTACCCTAGCTTGATTCTCGACATTAAAGATCGCACGACCATAGCATACGACACTATTCTCTTCTCGTTCTATGTCGATACTTGATCGTATAACAAACACATTGACTGTTTTAAATAATGGGCATAGATTTGAAGATTTATCTAGGGGTGGGCAATATGTGACAGTCTGTGATACTTACAGCGCCTATCACGGACCGCAGTTAAATAAATTGTTCAATATTAGTACGAAATGAACCTTAGGTACCATTCTATTTTAGAACAAAATGGTGTCATTTCATACCATGCTCAAACCGTGCCAAAAAGAAAAACTAAACATTCATTACTAAAATAATCTTAAAGCAAGAGCAATAAGTTTATATATCGAAAAGCAAAACTTTGCAAGTTATGAATTTGAATTCAAAAGGATCATAACCAAAAACAATAAAAGATAACGAACCCAAATTTAAAAAAAATGGAGTAATGATTTTTCTTCAATTCATACGATATCATACTATTGATATCTCCAAAAAAAATAATGTGTAGTCATAAGTATAATAACAACAATAATAATGAATAAATATTAAAAGAAAAATAATACTCCCTCCGTCCAATTTTAAATTGCCTGTTTGCCTTTTTTCTCCGTCCCAAAATAAGTTGCCTGTTAGTTGTTTTCGTAAACTTTTAAAAATAAAATACCTAAACTACCCCTAAAATAAGTCACACTTCTTCACCTTATCTTCTCATTCATCATCACCCCTCTTAAAAAGTAATGTTAATTTCGGAAAATCAACTCTATTTTTTATTTTCCTTAAATATGTCCAAAAGTCAAAACAGACGATTTAAAATGGGACGGAGGGAGTACAATGCAAACTACTCCGTATATAGTTGGGGTCGGATCGATGATCGAGGGGTTTTTTTGGCGTTTAAGAATGCCTCTTTTCAAGGTAGTTTCGGTCCAAGAGAAGTGGAGGCTTTAGCCGTTAAGGAAGCTCTTAGTTGGATCAAAACAAAGAATTGGCAACAGGTGGTGATCGAGTCAGATTGCAAAGAAGTGGACGCCATGAATACTTCCTTTCACGATTGTCATACTTTTCTTCACATAATGATGATCGTAAGGCCTCTTTAGCCAGTTGCGGCGGAGATTTTCTTTTTTTATTTTGTACACCGCTATGCTCATGAGGCGGCACATGTTTTGACGCGTGCGTCTCATTCTCTTTAGAGTAGGGGCAAATGGGGTCTTTATCCCATGGACTCGATTACCCAATTTATCTAATGCATCTCTTTTTGTTTAAAAAATACTCTGTATATGGTAAGATTAAGTAGACGAGTATGTATTTACATACTTTGCACATAGCTTTGAACGATTCAGTGCTGATAATCGGTTTTATAATTTTGTTGCACAGTCTCTTCCTGTTTAATATCGATCCAATTTTGGTTCATGAGGAAAAAAATAAATGTCACTTAAAAAAACTATAAACGGTTCGGTACCATTACGATCACGTATAATACATAGTTTGATTTTTGCCCACGTCTAGTTTTAACTCATTAGTTAGAACTAGTTAATGTAACCAGCAGTTAAAAATATAACTTAAAAGAGAAATTCGCGTAAATATTACTCCCTTCGTCCCATCTTATAACACATGTTTCGGTTTACCATGTTTGACTGAAATTATTTTCAAATCATTTTATATGACAAATGGTATATAGTTAAAAAATAAAAATTACATATTAAAATACTACTCCTTCCGTCCAAAAACTTTCTTCTTAGTTTGACTTTTCTCCATTTTTGATTTTTGGCTTTCAAAGATTTTTTGAATTTTTTTTACAATCATTCAAAATATAGAGTTCGAAGATAATTGGTGTAAATACATGAGAGTATTAATGTCATTTGTCATCTTTTTTTTCTAATGGGAAGGTAGTTTTAAGACGGAAAAAAAGGGGAAGTGAGAAGAAAGTTTTAGGACGGAGGGAGTACATCAAAAAAATCTACAAAACTAGTAGTGATAATAATACTTTAGTTTATCAATTTACTAACAAAAATTGAGAAAGAAAGTGAATGAAATTGGACTCTATGAATAGTAAACATACATTATAATTTGGGACAGAGGGAGTATCATAAATGCCCATAATGGTACCAATTACTCACCTGCTTCGAAATAATTTTTGCATTTAGTCCTCCATGCTTCAATATATTTTTCTAATCCACGCATAGTTGAATATTTTATTTTTACTAAATATTTTGACTAGTTTAAATGTGTATTGTTATGTTTTGAGCAATATTTATGACTTGACTTTTGGATCGTTACTCTTTCCAATTTCTTTCAACTCTTCCATTTTTTTAGCTTCTTTCGATCTTTTGGAATTCCTTCCAATTTATTTCACTTTTTCCTAATAATTTCTAATTTACCTAACTTCTTTGATTTTCCTAATTTTTAAAGCGTTTTTCAAAATATTTCCAATAGTCACATAAAATTGATTTACTTGCACTTGAATTAACTTCAACTATAATTATGATACAGTACTATTTAAAGAAATGCATAAAATAAGCATTCTATAATTTGTGAATGCGCATATAAATCTAAGTAAACAAGAACTTTATTTAAAAAAAGAAAAAAAGAAAAAATAACAATTTTTATGTGAGCAATTGAAGAGTGATAAATTCATTCACTTGTTTATAATTCCTAGAAAGGATAATGAGAATGTAACTCAAAAAATGGGTAGATAGAGGATGATTTTGGGATCGAATATAAAATTATTCTTACGGAGCAATCTAGTATGTCAAGTTTGATTTTTTTGAATCAAACATTTTAAACTGTACACATCAATTAAGCAAATATTGTAATGTATATTGGCATAATAATTTTATAAAATCTATTATGCTGAGAACTTTCAAAATTTATTTCATGAAGTATATGTTTTTCTGTGATGCTACTCATCAACTTATTATTGATAAATA